AAAACAAATATTCAATTGCTCATCAACTGAGAAGAGATAAACACCCTGTGGTAGATGTAGACATGATGGAATATTTCTGTCAGAAAAAAAGGAAGTTCTGATAAACACTATAACATAAATGAAGCCTGAAAATATTATGCTAAGAAGAAACTCAAAAGATCATATATTATTCGATTGCTTTTATGTGAAATATCACAATAGACCAATCCAGAGAGAGAGGAAGTAGACTGGTGGTTGCCAGAGCATGATGGGAATGGGATGTAAGGAATGACTGGTTAATGGGTTCAAGATAGTTTTCCTGGAGTGATTTTTAAAAATTGATATTGAAGTAGTAATTGGACAACACGGCGAATGCCACTCTTACATATTAAAATGATCCCAATTCCACCTTACAACTCTGGCTAGACCAGAGGATATACACTGGTACAGGTAGGAAGTGGAAACACAGGGATTCCAGGACAAATGATCCCTTCAGGACCAGTGGTGAGAGTGGCAATATCTGGAGGGTGGAGTGAAGGTCGGGTGGAGAGTGGGAACTGATTACAAGGATCTACATATAACCTCCTCCCTGGGGGATGGACAACAGAAAAGTGGGTGAAGGGAGTCATCGGACAGTGTAAGATATGACAAAATAATAATAATTTATAAATCATTAAGGGTTCATGAAGGAGGGGGGAACGGGGAGGGAGGAGGAAAATGAGGAGCTGATACCAAGGGCTCGAGTGGAAAGCAAGTGTTCTGAGAATGATGAGGGCAACAAATGTGCAAGTGTGCTTGACATACAATGGATGGATGTATGGATTATGATAAAACTTGTATGAGCCCCCAATAAAATGATTTAAAAATATAAAATAAAATAGTTAATTGTATGTTAGGTGGATATTATGTCAATTGTTTTTAAAAGGAAGTCCTGATCCATGCTACAATATACCCATTGAAAGTGTTTTAATAAGTGAAAAATGCTAGAAACAAAGGTTGCATACTGGATGATTCCATTGATAGGAACTACTCAGAATACCTAAGTCCACACAGACAGAAAGCAGAGTAGTGCTGATGGGCATGGCGCTGCCCTTTGAGTTGGTCAATATTTTCGACCGTATATACTTGAGGATAAGCCTACCCAAATATCAGCCAAGGCCAAAAACTGCATTAAAAATGAGCTGTAAAACTCGGCGTATACACGAGTAGATACAGCAGATGGAGGTAGTGGGTGTGCAAGCTTGGAAGGTGCTCATTATAGCCGTCATTGCGTCAGCTCCAAATCATGGTAACCTCGTGTGAAAGAGAATGAAATGTCCTGTCCTGTGTGTGGCAATGATTTCTTTTGCAAGAATTATCACCAGGGTAGTTCCATAGAGCGAGAGATGGCAGAGGTCCCCAAAGTCCAACTCTTTTAAGATACTACTTTGCACAGTGAATTCTCCTTACATTCCTCCTTTTCATTCACATGGTGTGTCATAGAACTGCTGTTCATAAGGAGTTCTGAAAGGCCTTTCTTGAAAAGAAGCAAAACACATTGCCACTGAAGAGCATGCGAAACTTTTTATCTCGAATGTTATTGTTCGCAAATATGTCTTACATTCTTCACATGAATACTTATCAATACATCCTTTGAATAAGGAAGGGGGGCGGATATCATTTGGCTCCATTATCCAACCACTACTTCCCTTAATGATCTACATTCCCTCATAGTCCTGGGTTCTGTGACTCATTGCAATGTCCAACCGAAACTCACAAAACTTTGAGGAAATGGCTCATATGTGGTGACGGGTGCTGTTCAGTCCAAAATCCGAGATGCAAGCAGAAGCCAGAAAAAAAAAAACAAAAAAAAACATATGTCCAAAAGCTGCAGTAAGTCTTCTTGCTTCTACAAAGCTCAATCAGGAAAATAAAGGAAATCTGTGGTGGTTTTCAATTGAACTGAGATCCAAAAGGTCAGTAATTCGAGGCCACCCGTAGCTATCCAGGAGATAGATGGGGCTTTCCACTCCCATGAACCATGTCTCAGACACAGGGCAGTTCTACTCTGTCCTATCAGGTTTCCCTGAGGCCGTTGGATTGAAGGCCCTAAGTTTGTTTTTGTCTTGGCTTTCACTCTCCAGGTGACACAATGTGTAAAACTGTTTGGAGGTACCATTATATATACAATACACACAAAGGGTGTGGTCTGGTTGACACCTGGTACAAAGGTGGGTCATAAGGATGTCATCAAGGAAACAGAGTGTGTGTCCTGGTTCACACCCAGTTCTAAAATGGGGTCTTAAAGATGCCCTCAAGGAATCAAAGGATGTGGCTGGGCCCACACCCTCCCCCAAGTTCAGGTCTCCTGTCCACCAGCGTAGTAGAGCCTGCCCTACAAAATGGGACCGTAACCACAGGCTTATCAAGCAGCACATGTTATATAAGACACCACGGACAGAAGAGCCACACTGATGGCCTCTAACCCAATGCACATAATCTGTGATGTCTCTGAGTACTTTGTTGTGGTCACTGTATAAACCCATCGCATTAAGTATACTCCTTTTTCTGACCAACCCTCTGCTGTACCGGACAGAATTTTCTTTTCTAGGAATTGGTCTTCCCAGATGATCTGGCCAAAGTGAATGCATATAATGCCACTGAAATATTAACTTTAAAATGGCTGACTTTATGTTAGGTCAATTTGATCTCACTAAAAATGTTTTACTTAAAAGAAATTCCACCTGTGCCCCTATACCCTGAATTTCCTCGCACACCTCCTGTTTTACTGCCCATCACAGCATCACTAACTAAGCTATTGCATATTTGAAGTTACTTGTCTTCATCCTAGAATGTAAACTTCACCAAGTTAAGGATTTTGCCTGCTTTGCTTTCACCGTGATTTCTGCGAGAACAAACAGCAGTCTGGCTTTGGATTTATCAGGATTAATAATAGATGGTAGAAAAAACAGTTCCATCATATAGCTAGGAAGAGAATGGTAGTAAAAGCCTTCAAAGTTCTGAAGAAATTTATTCTAAACTTAGAGACATGTAAAACAACTAAATGAAAAATCAACCATGAGACTAAAAGCGCTTTTGAATCTACTCAACTCAAAGTTCGGATCCCATCTAACCTTTCGGAAAATTTATTTACTAAAGTCTAAGAATGAAGACAACAATGTGATATAAGAAATTCACCCAGCAATGTATGGATATATAACGAACTCATCCAGCAATGTATGAAAAAAAAATCTGAAAATGAAACTTTAGCAAAAGAGTAGTTTGCATTAAAATAGAAGTTGAAATAAATGAAGAATTTCTTCAAATAAGAAAGCAGACAACTTCACAAGCATGTTATTGTATGATTTAGGAGTGTGAAAATACAAATAGGATAAATTATAAATAAAAACAGAAGCATGGATCTTCTTTGAGAAATAAAGAGACTGGCAGATTAAAACTTCAGTGAAAACAAAGAACTGCACAAAAATATGGTAGAAATATAAAACTAAACATAGTGTAATATTAAAAGAAACAAAGCAAAATTGCAAATAATTTTTCATTTAAAAATGTTACATCACTTCATCTTCACCCAGAACTGGGTATGGCTTTTATGGTGATACTTCTCTATGCCTACCAAATGTACAAGTACAGCATATTTCTTTTATAACCAAAGATGTAGGGGAGAATTTGCTGTTTGTTTTTTTTAATGGCACATAAAATAGCAAAAACTACTGGAAAATATCACATTGGCCAAGGATCTGGGCCACCCTGAGCTGACACATGAGACTTAAAACAGTGCAAATATGTTAAGGCAAGTACGACTTGAGGATATCGGCACATATATGCAGTCTACATAGGTAGAAAGGGCCAAGAAAAGAATAAAATACGCAAGGGATGACTCCATTCGAGATTTTCCTTCCTTTTAAAATGTTGAGATCTGATCTTCTTTCTATTGTGACTACAGGAGACCCAGGTAATAACTGATGTTTCCCGCAGTTACTCTGTGCTTTTACCTAGACACCTGATAGTACTTGAAGAATAGGAAGGGAGAGGAGAACGGAGAGGGCAGCAGAAGTAGCTTGGGTTAAGCAAAAAGCCAAGTTCCTGTTTCCCTTTACTTCCCAACTGTATCAGTCAGGCAAAACAGGCAAGCACTCTAAATGTAGGGTCTTTCAAATTGTAAACGTGACCAATTTATTGGATAGAGAAATCAGTTATAGGCACCAGTATATAATAAATAAAGTACAGAAAGAATGTAATAAAGCATAGCAGAGCACAAACCTCAGGTACTTAGGGTAATAATTATTTCATGAAACTGCTTTAGGTTTCCCATGTGTATTTGTGCCTGTGGGAACTGACTGAAATGTACAAAATGTATTTGTTACCGTGTGTTGCAAACACGCACACACACAAATTGTGAATGACTCCTATGATGTGGTCAACTGTATGTTCATTTAATCTTTGCAATTCTGCTACTGTTAAAGCAGTGTTCTCTGTAAACATGGGGTTACAGTAAGTCAGAATCAACTTAAGGGGGAATGTTCTAAAACTGATATGGCAATAATTACACAATTCTCCTTGACATGATTGGATGACTGAACTATTGAGTTGTATGATATGTAAATTATGTGCCCAAAAATGTTGCCTAAAAAAAAATACACTCAAAAAATAAGAAATAAAATAAAGCAAAATGATTTTAAAGAAGAAAGTTGAGGATAACCATCAACAACAAAAAAAAGCCTTTAAGGAATGTCCAAATTGGGAGTGAGGGAGAGAAACACAAAATGATAGAAATACTGTTCCTTAAAGAAAATGCTAAAAGTCAGCTTATGGGTGTGTGTGTGTGTGGGGGGGGTTAATCTCTATAGAAACCATCTACACCTGGCATAAGTGTGTTCATGTGTGCACATGCATGCACACACTCTTGTACTTTTCTCCACCCACCCAACCCCCCCCCCAAATCCTATAGAACACACAACTATGATAAGGAGTATTAGGAAGATTCAATTTTTAAACACACATTTGAATAAACAAATGCATACCTTTCAAACTCTATTGATCCACAAACCAAGAGGGCATGTTCTTGTTGCGTGTCTTGATCAATGAATCAGAAGAGCATCAAGAACCAGGAACTGGCTGCGCCTTCCCTCCACTGCACTGCATCTACCTAGAAAAGGAAACAGAAGATAGCTTCAAATGCTCCATTCCTAGAAGGAATGCTGACCCAAACCAATCAATGCAAAACACATGCTAAGAGTTGAAAGTTAACCTACTCATTAGTCACTCTTTGGTTCATCTAGTTTCAGTCCTTGAAAGAAGATAAATATAGAGTACCAATAATAAACCAGAATAATTTTTAAAAAACAAAACAAAGCACCTGTTGCAATTTCATCGACATATCATTGAAGTGTCATAAAAGTAATTAAGTATCAAATGCACTATTCTAAAATATAGAAAAACAACATCAAGTTACAAAAGGATACAATAAAAAACTGGAAATTTGACATTTTTATAAATTCCATTGAAAATGGATTCCAACACATTAATAAAATGTAAGCTTAAAGTACAGATACATCAGTGATGACAAGTATACATTTTTTTGAGTTGAAATTAACTTCCATAATCCAAAGCATAAGCAAATATTATAATCACCTTTAGTAATATATTCCCATATATCATATTTGGCATACATGCTACTATACAAAATCTGAAAGAATGACAACTGAATTTCTCAAATATGCTATCCAATTAAAAAAATTTCCTCTTAAAATAAGTATATTTATTGATGCTTCTCCAGATTTCCTTTTCTGTTAAGTCCTACAAGCTGGTAACCTGATGGAGTATACTTCGTGGCTCAGAACGGCAAGCAAACAAAGTAGTATTGAGAAAGCATCGTGGAAAACATAATGAAAACCATAGGCCTAGCAAAACATAGATCAAACACCACCATTTGTCTGTCAAGCTTGTCACACTGTGGTGACTTAGATGTTGCTGTGTCGCTGGCATTGCAAGTGCCAGGCAAGGTCACCCAAAGTGAACAGGTTTCAGCAGAGCTTCCAAACGAAGAACATGCTACAAAGAAGGACCAGGGTCCAATTCTGAGAAAGTGGCAACTGAAAACCAGATGGACAGAATCAAAATATTGTCAAATACTGAAAAACCTCATGAAAAGAAGCAGAACATTGTCAGAGACAGTGCCAGAAGACGAGTCCTTCAGGCTGGAAGTCACTTTAAATATGATTGAAGAAGAGCTGACTTCTTAAAGTAGAGTCAACCACGGACACAGACAGAGTAAAGCGTGAGAAGTTAAGCCTTCGGGACCTTACTTTGCTGATGGGGCATGACTCAAAATGAGAAGAAACTGGTGCAAGCATCAATTAATAATCCGAGCTTGGACTGTACGAAGGTGTGAACCATACATACTAGAATAGCCTTGAAAAGAATGGGAACTTCACAACACTACGTTACGCTCACTGGAACCTGAGCACGGATAAAGAGGCTGCTGCACAAACCAAACAAGGAAATACTGCACGTCTTAAAATCAGGAATGGTGTATGTTAGGGTTTGCATCCTCTCACCATACTTACTCATTCTGTATGCTGAGCAAATCATTCCAGTAGATGGATTATACTAAAAAGAATGGGGTATTAGGATTGGGGGAATGCTAATTAACACCCTCCCATATGCAGATGATACAACCTTGTTCGTTGAAAGTGAGGAGGACCTGAAGCACTTGCTGAGGAAGATCAAGAATTACATACAGCCTTTAGTATGGATTACAACTCAAAACTACATAAATCCGCACAACTGAACCAATAGGTAACATCATGGGAAAAAGAGAAAAGTTGTCAAGGATTTTGTCTTGCTTATATCCAAAGCAATGTTCATAGAGGCAGCAGTCAAGAGATGAAAGGATGCATTGCTTTGGGTAAGTGTGCTGCCCCAGACTTCTTTAGAGTTACTAAAAAGCAAGGATGTTACTTTGAGGACTAAGGTGTGCCTGACCCAAGCCATGACGCGTTCAATAACCTCATTTGCATATGAAAGTTGGGCACTGAATAGGGAAGACCAAAGAATAATCAATGCTTTTGGAACTTATGGTGTTGGTAAAGAATATTGAAAATAAAAGGACTGTTAAAAGAATAAACAAATATGTCTTGTAAGAAGTACAGCCAGAATGCTCCTTAGAGGCAAGATGTAGCAGACTTTATTCTCATGTACTTTGGACATGTTGTCAGGAGAGGCTAGTCCCTGGAGAAGGTACATTATGCTTAGTAAAGTAGTGTGATACACATACACACACACACACACACACACACACACACACACACACACAAAATACCTTTGAAAAGGTGGACGGACACAGTGGCTGCAGCAATGGACTCACAGATGAGAATAATTGTGAGGATGGCATAGGGAGTCAGAGGTGACTTGAAGGAACCCAACGACGACAGTAACAGCTAAACACAGTGAGACCTCATAGACATTAAGTGCTTCAAGCACAATTTGGCATCACATGCTATGCAAAACCAAATGACAAGAGTGTACTTTTTCAAAAAACACAAATGCATCTGTTATTTATCTATCTGTAAAAAAGATATTTCCAGGAACTAATATTACATGCCCTATTCGATTTTACCTTTCAAATGTATATGAAATTTTATAAATTATACTTTTCAATATGCCACACATGGAGAATAAGTAAATATTGCCAGTCACTCTTTAGATATCAATAAATTTACAGGGTTAGTCTTGTATGGTTGAAATAAAAATTACCATACCACTAAAATAATAATGTCTGTTTTTCATGTCTGTGTATGTATACATACACATATGTATATAAAAATACCATTTTTATTCTACAGATGGCTCTTTAGAGGGATATTCAAATATCTTTCAACTAATCCAATGTATATATATTTGATGAATACTATGTTTGGAACTACTTAATACATGTTTTCATAATACTGTGTCACAACTGTCCTGAGAATATGGCTTATTTCTTTAGAAAATCTGACAATAACAAAAAAGAAAAAGATTAACAGCACGATATGCCATGTTGAATATTTGTAATCTGTTTAGTTTTTAATATACTATTTACATGGGATTTTACACATCTTACATTTGCAAGGTCCTAATTAACCTTGTTGTTATGACAAGATAGGCCCCTAAGACTTGCATCCACACACCACCAGAGAAACCAAGAAAAGAGGAAAGGGAGAAAACTTATGGACACAATTAATAAACACAGAAGACCACCTCAACAGTAAGATTACAGGAGACAAGTGGACTTCCTCAACAATCCATATGCAGAAATAATATTTACCGTGAAAAATATTTACAGTGAAAAGATATACCAGTTCTTTTTCTGGTTATTCTCTTAGGAATTGCATAAATATTAAGAAATCTAGAAATAGATATACACATGCACATATAAAAATTATTGTCAGTGTATAACTTACTGCTGCCCTGGGATTGCAATAATTTATGTAACATCTGTTTTCATATTTTTCTAATTTTTTTTCTAATTAACATGCATATTTAACGCATAAGTGCTCAGACCACCTCTTTTTTCCTGCTGACTGTGCCTCTGTTTTGAAGTGGCACACTTCTAGGGAGAATTCAGGAGAGATGGAAAACAAAATCTTATTGAAAGCACTAATTTTTAAATCTAAACAGTATAAACTAATTTTCAAAAAAATATGAAAGTGCTAGGAGTTTTCACAAAGAGCATTTCAATATGCCAGCAACAGTCAGGCACAAAGAATCGCAGCCTTCTCGATTTCTTCCTAAGCACTGGAACCTATTCTCTTCCTTAGCTTGCATGTACAGATGGGCTTTCAGTTTCTATTTCTTCAGCAATATAAATTAACAAACGCATTTAATATATGAATGTCAACAAGTATATACAAACCAGCTATGTAACTTTTGAATTGTAAAACTTAAAAAAATTGGGAAATTGAGGAAAAGGGGGGAAAGTTTTCTTTTTCCTTAATGCCCCTTCAAGTACAAGCAAGGTCTGGGAAGTCTCCAATCTATACTGAGTAGTTAATAATCACAGTACTACTTATGTCTATTTCAATAGGAAACAGTAAAATTGGAGGCCAATCAAACCAATATTACAATAACATATTCCCCCAAAACAATGCCAATATTCCACTTCAGAATCGATTGCTATGTGTTTTAATTACCTAATTAGCCACTTCAGGCATCCATGCATGATCTGTGATCTACTATGCGGGCAGTCCTGGGACTCTGCAAACTCTGAAACTGCCTCAGCCCGCAAGGAGCTGACATTCTACTCGAAACCGAAACACTAACTGCAAACAGAGAAATGTTATTTTAAAAGATGGAGCCATGAGACTTTAAACAGGAACCCTTTAACAGGAGTTAGCCCAGGGACCAGTCCTGAAAACAAAGGCCATTGAAGACATGATCTGAAAGGTCTGGAAATGCTGCCGTCTGGGGGGCACAGCAGCTTGAAGGCCCAAAAGCAGGCCTGACAACCAGCACATTCAAAGACAATGATCAAGTAGGACCCAGTCACAGCAGGAGAGGGAATGCATGCTAAACAAAGCAGGGTAGTAAAAGGCATAGTCCCTGAGAAATTTTAAATAGGATATAACAATTAACTTTGCTTTGAACAAAACATCAAGTTTGGCTGGACTGTGAGATGAGCCAGGAGAGGAAGCCGAGGAGGGGTCAGATGAAAGCTGGCAGCCCATCTGAGGGAGGGCAATCGGGTAATAGTGATGAAGAGGGAGAAGGGAGCATAGAAAGCAAGCCACATACTAACAAGAAGCAAAACTTGGTAAATATGTAGACTATGTGGAGGAGGTGGGTAGATACATATCAGTTCCATTTATTGAGGTGGGGGCCCTGGAAGAAGATCAGGTGTTGGGGGAAAGAACCACATTTCGACTTGGCTACCTGTTGGAAAGGAACTGTACACACTTCCATTTAAATGTCTGGAATCTGGCTAAATTAAAATTTAAGTTTACAAGGATATGGGTGATTGGGAAGCCCGATGAAGTAGTTCTACTCTGGCACATGGCTCATTTTGAGTTAAAAGCTACTTAAGGGCTATTTTTTTAATGAAGTTTGACATTCTTTCCCCAGAGGAAAGTCCTTTAGTATTTCATAAACTGACCAGCTCAGCCACAAAGA